CCCGCCCGGCCAAGGCCTCCCACAGGCCGCTCCTCAGCACACCTGATGTGCTGCCACGGTAATAGATGGCCTGAGTCCCACAGGATCCAATCCCCAAATGTTAACAGGTTTAGTAATTTTTAGTATTTTGTTACCTCTAAATCCAGAGTTGTTCTGGAAGAGAGGATGGAGATTAAATTCTCATTTCTAAATCATTTGGGATGAACAGGAGTATTTGTAACCAGTGACAGAATTAAAAGCCATCCTAGAAACACAGGTGCTCACACAGTGATGCTTCTGAAACTGAGATTAAAGCAAGGACCTCTTCTTACAACTTCTACAGCTATTTGTAGAGATTTCCTGATATTCTTCCCTTTGTCTTAAATCAGAACCTAAGAGGAAACCCCCTCCACTACAGAAGCAGCCAACAGCACATCACAGACACAAAAACACAGAGAAGCACCAGCAAAGCTGAGCTGGGCTCCGACAGGCAGCACGGAGCCAGAGGGGTTAATGCTGCTGGTTTATCCTCACAGCACCCCAGGTTACACAATGTCACAGGGCAGCCTGAGATGCCCAGCTCAGCCCAGTGACATAAGGAGAGCTGGGCAGCCTCACCTCTGGCCATCCTCATCCCGCAGGCAAGCTCTCACAGCTGCCCAGCCGGAATTACGGCTCCTGGGGCTGCAAACAGCATCTCCACGGCAGTGCCCATCCTTCTCCTGGCAAAGGACGAGCCCTCCTGTCTGCTCCCTGCTGTCAGGAGGGGGACGCAGAGCAGGGGGACACCACAGCCATGCCAGGCACCCACCTGGGCTGTTGCTGTCCTGCTGGGCAGATCCTCCCGCTCCGACTGGAGTGCAGTCCTCCTTGTTCAGGGGATAGTGCCCTGCAGAGGGATCCAGCCTCGGGCCGGGTTAATTAATGCAAAGCTCTAGTAATATTTGCTGGTGGAACAGCAGTGAAAAATGTTCTGCAGAGAATTGAGAGGGTTTTAGGCCCTTGCTCTGCCCATACCAATGTGTAAGGGCCCTGCAGATCTCTTCCAGGGTGTTGTTTTCAGGGCTCAGGCCAGCACAGATTGGGATGTGATGGTGACACTTGTGTTTGCAGAGCCTGTGAGACTGGACAAAGCATAAATCTCAAACTAGCTGCGATTTACAACACAGCTGCTTGCTCCGGGATGCACATATGTGCTCTTAGCATTTATCCAGTCATTCTGACACCAGTGACTGCAAGAAGCCTGTTCAAGTATTATTTATGTGGTGTACACAATATTGTAGTGAAGATCATTATTCAAGGTGGTTGATTTTCTGCTTTCAGTGGTAGTGGTTTGTGTCTGCCTCAGGCTTAGCAGT